TTTTTGGGTGTATTCATGAATTAACTCAAAAAAAAAACAACTTTCTGTAGACGTAGCTAAAATTTACATTCTTGGGTGCCTTTGGTTGTGACACCTTATAGTTTTTGGGTGTATTCATGAATTAACTCGGAAAAAAAACCAACTTTCTGTAGATGTAGCTAAAATTTACATTCTTGGGTGCTTTTGGTTGTGACACCTTATCCAAATAAAAATAAGGATGAAGTGCTGCAGCCATTGAACACTTCTGGTGGTAAGATGTTGAACATGGCTGGGAAAAGGAGCAGGAGGCATCACAACTGGTGGGAAGACATCAGGGAGCACAATTCTTCTCAGTTTTCTCATGCAGATGCTGTGTCACTGCTGGTGTTGGGTGACACCAGGGTGTTGTGAAGGGAAGTTACATGTGGTGAGTGTCCTGAGCTGGGCACTGAGGCAATCCCCTTGCTGATCTGGGTGAGAGCCAGCCTCCCAGTAGAGGTGAAGCACCAGTTAATACACAGTGTTTTGGGTGTTGGGTGCTGCAGCTGAAAGGGGAGGAGCTGAAAGGTGGGCTTGTGTTGAGCATCATGAGGCCACCAATGAAGCACCAGTTCTCTGATAACTGAAACTGCTGTTTTGCAGGTGGTGGGGAGAAGCTGAGCAGAGTTGACTAGATGAGATACTGTTTGAATTATTTCCTTTTAGACTGGTTCCTTCCTACAGTAGTATCTGCCACCATGGTCAAAGTTTGCAGCAATTGGTGACATGCTGTACCCTTTAATGTCACTATTTTAGTATCTGAATTGATGAAGTTAGTTATTCTCAGCAAAGCAGTACTAATGATAGTCCTCTGTTCTTAAAAATTAAGCTCCTTGGTGATGTGGAATTGGCTCATCTGTGCATATGAGTGAGGGTCTGTGTAGTTACTCATTTACATAACTAATTAGAGGATGTTAATCTGACAGCTAGGGAGCCATCCAGCTGTTAGCATTTGTGTAATAAAATCACATCTCTAATCAAAGGTGGCTTGGGTGGTATTTGTTCTGGGCCTCAAGTCCAAGTTTAAATACTGTTTTTATCAATTTTACTGTGATTCCTCAATCACAAAGGGGACAAAGTGACAAAATTTATGTAAATCTCTTGAGCATCCCATTCCCAGGACACTGAACTAGCAAGTGCTGCTCTGACAAGTGACTGCTTAGTGGGTGGCTTGTTGCTGCTCCTTTTTGGTGAGGTAGCCTTACTAGCCACAGCTTTAGCTTGGGATAGCCAGATATGTATAATGCAGCCCTGGCTCCACAAAGCCTCACCAAAGCTCTCTAAAAACATCTGACCCCACCAGTTAGGGATCATTTGCTACCCATCTGTTCACCCTCAGTGTTAAAACAGTGGAGAAACTGGTGAAACAACCCAGTTCAGAGAGGGGTCAATAGTTTTGCCTGCCAGTTGCTCAGTCATCTTTCCATTTTTAGATTTGGGAATGGATGATGAAGGTGATGATGACCCAGTCCCTCTTCCAAATGTTAATGCAGCCATCTTAAAGAAGGTAAGATGCTGACAGGGGTGGTTGGACAGCAGTGATGGGACATGAAATCCATGTTGGAGTTGGGCATGATGGACTAAAAATACTTCTCATGTGCTAGCCACAAGCTTAACTGCTTTGGGGTGCATGACCACAGGTACCTAGGGAGTGTGAGAGCTGGGCTGAGGCTGGCAGGCAGAGTGGCAGAAGACCTGCAGGGGTGACCTTCCCAGCAGCTGGAGGCTTTCTGAGGTGTTGCAGTGGTGCTGGACATGTGTTTCATGGTATTAAAGCTTTGATTTTAGTGGGATTTGGTGAACTGAGGTGGCTGTTTGAGGCCCAGATGTTAGGAGAAGGCACTGGTGAGAGTGACTGGCAGTAGCTGTGCACTTAGTGATTGACACTGCACCCTTGGTGGTGTGAAATTCAGTGTCAGACAAGGATTGGGTCAGGGGAGGAAAGCCAAAAAGTATGTTGCTGTCTTCTAAGATCCTTTTCCCTCTGAAGCAGGAAGTGTTGTGCCAAAATAAGCACTGGCCTGTTCTGGGGTAAATACAGGGTTAGGAGTTATTTCCTGGGGAACATACACATTATAACTTCAAACTTGTCAAGTCTGGTGGGTTGGCAAAAGGCAACAGTGTTTTTTGCTTGCAGTGGATGGATCCCTGCTCCATTTCATTGTCTGGGAGGTTTGTGTTCCCTAACTAGTGGTGGTTTTTAAAAACCAAGCTGCCAGGTGAACTTTGTACTGAGGTGAACACATCCTGCTGGTAGCTATTGCTGCTCTGTGCTCTTCCCCTGTGTAGTATTCTCTGTAATAAAAGATTGTTTCTGCAGACTAGACACTGCAAAATGAGGTTTAGGTTTCCTCTGAACAGTCCTGTGGGTGTTAGCACAGGGTTTACTAACTTTATAACACCAGCAGTTGCCTTTTAAGATCCTAAGTACTTAACTAGCTACTGTTGCAGTAATTAACTCCTGTCTTAGGTGGGATTCCTCAACTCCAGGATTGTGGATCAGTTGTTCTAAAAAAAATATTGGGGGTTTGGAGCACGTTCATACAGGATTCTAATATTAATCTAGGAAAAAAAAAGGTACATTCCTTCTAAAATGAAATTGTAGTTGGGGCCTAATGGGAGAGTCACGTGGATGAAACTTTAATGTCAAAACTGTAATTAGGTGATTCAGTGGTGCACCCATCACAAGGACGATCCCCCTCCTCCTGAGGATGATGAGAACAAAGAGAAAAGAACAGATGACATCCCTGTGTGGGATCAGGAGTTTCTGAAAGTAGACCAAGGAACACTTTTTGAACTTATCCTGGTAAGTGTGCTCAGGAGGTGTCAAGGCTGTGCCTGAGGGGTGTGCTCTGGTAGTGCCCTTCACAAATGAAGGCTTCATGCTCCTTGAGTAGGTTCTTCACTGGGAGGAGGGATGTGGGCAGGGCAAGTGGTCCTGACAAATGCTGTCTGAAATGGCTGTTGTAGCCCAGTGCTGGGTTCATCTGTACCTGCTCACACTTTGAGTGGGGGGCCTCACAGCTGTCCTTATTCCTGGGGCTCTTGAAAACCTTAGTTGAGGGCTTGTGACTAGAAATGGAGTTCTGGAGATCTGCAGACAAATTAAAACCTAATTTTGACTTAAAATTTCTACCTTGTGTGGGACTGTGAGCTGACAGGGACTGTCTGAGCTAGTTAACAGCACTTCAGCACTGCAGATCTCAGCTGCTTGCAGGGTCCTGAAAGCCCTTTGTAAAAGGAGGAGCTGGGGGGTGTCTTTCAGGGTACAAATGACTTTCCCTTCTCTTTGGCAAGGAAGTTGCAGGTGCTGTTACTTCAGGGTTTTTTCTAGAAGCTTCTCAGAGGTGATCTGTTTGCAGTGAGCACTCTACAATTCCAGCATTAGCATAGCTCTGGTAGTACCTCTGCAGAGGCAGAAGATTGATATGGGGGGTTTAAATTTGGAAACTCTTCTACAGGCTGCAAATTACTTGGACATCAAAGGTTTGCTGGATGTCACATGCAAGACAGTTGCAAACATGATCAAGGGGAAAACTCCAGAAGAAATTCGCAAGACATTCAATATTAAGAATGACTTCACTGAGGAGGAGGAAGCACAGGTACTTTATCTGGGTTTCATTGTAATTTAGCTGAGGATTTTGTGCTGAGTTGTGTGGTGCTTCATAATTTAACATGGGATGCAACTGACCTGTCAACAACAAATGTAAAAGAATGCTTCAGTTCTCCCTAAGTGGGTTGCTCCCAGTGGAAGATGTTTTGCTGCCTACACTGCTCATGGCCCATTACCTGAAAGTTCAAAACAAATCACACTGATTTCCTAACTCAAACATATCTGGTAAGAAAGCTTGGAGAAGCTCCCAGTGGAAGATGTTTTGCTGCCTACACTGCTCATGGCCCATTACCTGAAAGTTAAATCACACTGATTTCCTAGCTCCAATGTATCTGGTAAGAAAGCCTGAAGGATTTTGTGGCAGGCTTGGCTGTTGGGGAGCTGTGTGAGAGTGCTGAAGGTGTATTGCTGCATGTGGCTGGAAAGGTAAGAAGTTTGGATTCTTCTCTTCAAACTCCCCAGTCTTAAAACTTCAACAAGCAGCCAACTGCAAAATGGCAGAACTGGGAAAGAGCAGAACAAGGTGCCTTGTTTAAATGTAAAGTTAGTGAATTGTGCACTGTGCCCTCATGAAATGAACACTTCAATCTTCAACTAAAGTTCCCTGCAGCCTATTAATAGTGAAAAATATTAATAGTGAAAATGCTCTTTCAGGTACGTAAAGAGAACCAGTGGTGTGAAGAGAAGTGAAGACTTGTGCCTGACACCCAACACTGTAAGGATTGTTCCAAATACTAGTTGCACTGCTCTGTTCATAATTGTTAATATTAGACAAATGCAGCAGCAAATGAAGTTGTGTTAGCAGGATATTGTTCCCTTTGCATGTGTAGTGGGGGTTTTTTTTTGAGTACAGACTCAAATCTTCTGCGTTTTTATTAGTGTAATTGGATGTCTTTTTACTTTGCATTGAATAAAACTGAACTAAGTGTGGATTCTGTATGGAAGCAGCACTTAAGGTTTTCATTCTCAGTACACCTTGAAGCTGTTCAAGTCCAGTTCTGTTGCTAAGGATTGACTCCATTGTAAATAAAGCCACCTAGGTCTTCTTCCTCAAGAGGAACAAAACATTTGTATCTACAGGGTATTGATAGCTTCAGCAAGGAAAATCTAGAATGTGTCTTGGGGAACTAAGTAAAAGTTACTGATTTCTTCCAAAAACCTTGTGGGGAAAATTTGTGTTCCTTAAAGCTATCTAATTTTCCAGCTGGTTCTTGTCCTGCATTAAAAAAAAAACAAAGAAAAAATATTTGACTACTTTCTTGTCCTGTTAGTCTTGCCTTTTAGACTAGTGGAAGGTGTGATCTAGGACTCAGCAAGCTCCTGACAGTTCAGTTGGAATACTTCAACCATGTCTGGAAAACCTGCCTCTAGCTGGTAGCAAATGAGAAGTGTGTTGCTTTATGCACAGGAGAGGTGTGTTTTTATACATGTTCCTATGAAAAGTGGAATCCAGATTTGACCAAAAATGACTGACATTACCAAAGTTCACATTATTGACCTGTGCATGCCATTAGTGGCTGGTTTTTAGACAATTTTAAATGACCCTTGTGATGTAGTTCTTTAAAACCTGGTTTAATGTGTCCACAGGAAATCTTATGCCTCTGTATGTGATACTTCAGCTTGTAGACTTAATTATTGCATACAAAGCTCATGCAATATCAAGCTTAACTTCTTTGGACAAAGCCACTTGCAACTAGTTAAAGAGTAACTGGTTTTCTGATTTTTTTTGTTTGTTTTTTTACAGTTCCCTTATAGGGAGTAGGGGATGGTCGTGTGGTAGATCTTTGAGGTGTGCTCTTAGCTTGTATTGCATTCCATTCTCTGTATAAACCTTAGAGTAGAACAAACCTTAATAAACATCATTCTCTCACTTTAAATATCAGTGTTTCACTTCTGAATTAATAAAGGGCTTTTAAACTTCTGCTTGCAAATGGTTCTAGTTATTTGAAACTAGATCTTGCTGTTTATTCCTGAGCAGAGCAATGGCAGCAGTGAGGCAGGGGTTAGTGGAGAGAGCACAGATGGAATGGCTCTGATCAGTGGCTACTGCAAGCCCCAGTCAGACAGTGGGCAACTTCTCAAGTGAAGCTGGGAGCTAAATAGCAAACAATCCAGATTTTTATGTCATTTACCAGCTTTTAGGTAATGTTGTTTTTGTGGCCAGCTGTAAAGCAGCATTCAGACCTGTGCTTTGGCTGTGGTTTGTGCACAAGGGTGTTGGAGGGTGTGTGTGTTACAGATACTGTTGTGTCAGTGGGTGTGAAATACTCCAGTGCTAGACTCAGACATGGGGAATCCCTTCCAGCAGCCTGGAGTGCAAATCCTGGATTCTCCCAAGAAATCAATCCCTCTGTGTGTGGTGTCAGTGTTCCAGAAAACACTAGCTCCTCCTTGGAGGGCTGTGTGGTGGAAGCCTGTATAAATCCCTGTAGGTAGGATCTGTTTGTCAGCACACAACTGCCTCACCATCCTCTGGGCTGAGGAAGAGCCACAGACATGGAGTTTCTTCCTCATTATTTGGCCTCTGCTTTGTTTGCCATACCTGCATAAACACTCCTGTGACCCTGGGGTGAGACCTGCTCCTTCTTAGAGCAGCTTCCCTGGAGTGTAACCCTTGGTGATCCCAGTTCTTACCCAGTCATTCTAAACACTATTCCTTGTACAAATGCCCAAGGACACCAAAAAAAAAAACCAATAAAGCAAGATTCTTCTTGAGTTGTAAGAAATAGTTATTCAAGAGTTTGATAGGATTATCATCCCCAGTGGCCTATTTTGAATAGCCAATCTGGCAATTACTTTATTTATAAAGCTATAAACATGTTTTGAACATAAAAGCCAAAAAAATACAAACTCAGTGAAGTAAAATAAAAAAAAAAAAAAATTACAACAAATGCTGGATAGTCATTGGACAAATGAAACAACAGCTGCAAAACATTTATCCCTGCTACATACATACAGTGGGTGTACTGGGTTTAATGAAGTGGTACTTGTAGGACTTCTACACTCAAACTGATTTCAAGAATTCCAATATGTGTTTCAGGAAGAGCTGAAATTACTGTAAAAACTAAAAAAAAAATGGTGATAAAAAGGTAAGGGCAAAGTTTTCCTTCTGTTAAAAAAAAGATCTAGTATTAACACAGAATAGTAACACTTCATCTATCATCCCAAAAGACACTTTTTTTGGCATTAATCAAGGTAACTTTGTTTGGCATTGGTTGTCAGCCCAAGCTGGGCACACTCACTGCTGTGTCTGGGGAAGGGGCAGCTGAAAGGTCTCTTCTCTTGTGTGGGTTTTTTTTTGGGGGGGGAATATCCACTTTTCTCAGTGTCAATTGACCAGGAGGCTGGTCTGAGTTTCACCCAGGGCAGGCCTGGCACACAGGGACCCTTGGCACCCACAACCCCCTGGAGGGGCTCCAAATAAAGGGGTGAGAGTCCCTGGGGGGGGCTGGAGCTGTGGTTTGACCCAGGGCCTGCCCCTCACTTTCCTCTGGTGTTCCTCAGCTGCTGTTCCTGCACAGTACCAGCTGGGTGTTGGTTACACCAGCTTTACACCCAGCGTGGGGTCAGCACATGCCCAGCAGCTGCCCCTGGGGGGTCTTGGGGTGCCAAAAGCTGAGCTGAGACACAGCCAGTCTTTTTTTTTAGAGTATTTTTTTGCTTTTTTAATAATCAAGTGATAGAATATACGTCAGATGAGGGGAGAGGCTGCTGGGTCTGTCAGCAATGCAGCATGCTGTGAAGGTGGCTAAAATCTGGGCCTGAGCAGGCTGTGTGTGATCTAGTGGCACAGAATTAACCCTCTGAGTGCAGGGAGGACCTGCTGAAGTGCAGCTGGCAGCTGGGTCAGGTAATGCTACTTCTCTACGGGTTAAAATAAGTCTTTCAAACTTCCAAATGACCCTTTTTTCAAACTTTTTTTTCAGGTTTGTGCCCGTAGCTTCGTTCAGTGCTTCTGAAATTGCATTTTACACAGGAAAGGAACAAAGCAATAGGTTCAGATCTAAACTAAAACTGGAATTAAAAAAAAAAATCTATACTGCTATAAGCAAAAGTACCTAAATAAAGGGAATAAACCCAAGGCTGCTCTACAGACTAATCAGGTTGGTTATTACTCTTTTTTTTTTAAAAAATTCTCAGTCTTTGAGGCATAAACTTCTTAAAAAAGTTATGTGGAGTCCAATGTAAAAAAATTAAGGTGGTTTTTGCATTAAGAAAAAAAAAAATATAAAAATATTTTGTACATTATAAAGGTCATCTTAAATTTCTCACAGTCCTACAATAACATTACTACATCATTTGTATTCAGTTCTCTAAAAACCTGTTCTGTAAAGTAGAAAAAAATAGACCCCTCCCCTTCTCCCCCTCTGGGTGGTGGTTTTCTCTTGAGCAGACTAGAATATATTTCAAGCAGGGAAAAAAAAATCTGCACTAGGTGGTGGCCTCTGTGAGAAATCTGTCAATGAAGAACTTGGGTTAATTGGGGGTTTCCATCAGCTCGTGGAGATCCCAGTCTGTCCACAGGGTTGTGTTCATCGAGCTCAAAATATAAATAAAACACCAGGAGCTGGTAAATGGAGAGAACACGTGAACATTTGGCACGGGGGTGGAGGGAGGAGCTGGTAGAAAAAGCTAGAATAAGGTTTTTTTAAAAAAAGTTATACACCAAATCATGGGAGGAGGGGGAATAAAAAGGTTCTGATGTTGCAGAGGGGCCGGGCAGCCCCTGAGTGAGGTGCAGAGCAGGGCAGGGGGCAGCTCTGCTGCCAGACCCCCAGATGGGCAGAGGGGGGGAGCTGAGCGTGGGGGGCAGAGCTCTCCCACCTCTGCCCATCCCAGCTGGCTGGGCCAGCGTGCCAGGGCCGTGGGCTACCAGCCCTCTGCTGCCCGGGTGCAGAGTTAGGTCAGGGCCGTGGCAGTGAACCGATTTCTGAGGCTCTGCCTGGGCTGCCTGCTGAGATTCCTGTCTGCAGTGGGATGACCCTGCACCCGAGGGAGACCCTGCACCCGAGGGAGGTGCCAGCTGCCCACTGCTGCTCCCTTCTCCTCCACCACGCAGGATGGGACGTGTAAACAAAATCTTCCTGTTCTCAAAACAAGAAGTTGGGAAAAAAACCCCCCACTCCTCCACCTGGTGGGTGGCAGGGTTCTGTTTCTCTAGCACCCGGTCGGAGCTGGCGTGGCTACATTTTCATTTTCAGACACGAGGGCTTTTAAAATGCTCCTGTTCCACCTTTTCCAGCTTTTCCAGCTTTTCCAGCTCCGTGGCACGATGGCTACGAGGGGTCTGCGAGCTTGTGCCTACCTCTAAAGCAGCTGGGAGGGCGAGGGGGTGTCAGCCTGAGAGCAAGCCGGGGAGCTGGGCTCTGCCTTCTGCCATACTTCAACACAATGCAGTGAAAAAGAAAAAGGAAAAACCCCAAACCAACAGAAAAAAAAAGCAGCACAGGGCAGGGACAAAAGGCTCCTTTACTCATCAGCACTTTCAATTTTGGCAAGTACTTATTTTTTTACCTTTTTTTTTGTTTTTTTT